ATAATGAATTATAATAATACGCCGGCATAAACCCGATTCTTGACAGAAAACCGCGGCGAAGCAGACGCGCGTTACAACAATTACGCCTAGATAATTCGTGTAATTCCCGTAATTTGACAAACGTTTCGATACGCTACTCTGACTTAATCGAATAAACTGCCTACCAAATTGCGAAAACATGCGACAGTCGGTTAAGCGTCCGCGGCGCCACGTTGTTAAAACGTTACTTAAGTACCTGATTAAATTCGACATTTATTTTGCGCTAACGCTCCTTCATTATCCATTCATTAATTCTTTCTTAATTTCCTTGTTTGCACAATGCGCTTCGCGAAATTCAGATAAACAACGGAGGAAATAGTGATTTAATAATAAGCATAGTAAGAGCAGTGCCTAAAGGTGCATGCAAACACGTGACATTTACGATTTATTTAAACTGGCCGTCCCTCTCGAGGGCTCTCAAACATAAAAAATCATGTCCTAACAACTCGAACATCGGCCGCGTAGGAGCAAAGCAAACAAACCTCGAGCAGCCGCCCCGTCTTCAATCTACTTCAATCAACGACGACGTTTAAACGCGACCCACTCGTATCTATCACTGTTAGATGTCAGATAAAACCGTTTCGAGTGCCGCGTGTTTGGAGGGCTAAGGCGCCACGTCACTTGGCTTCGACCGAATCTCGATTCAGCGACACCCGTTTCTCGTGTTTCCATTAAGCCGTACAGCTCGGTAGCCGTGTGTCGGGAGGTCGCGTGCAAATTATCGTCCTTCGTGTAAGGCTCCCTGCCATTCACCCCCACGAAGGCGAAGTTCAACCGCTTTCCGTCGTACACGGGATGACAAATGGCCGGCCATTAGGCCGATTTCGTGGTCACTCCGCGGCTCCTCCGCTTCCGGGGGAGCCACGCAAAAAAATTAATTACCATCGCGCAGAGCTGTGATGCTGCTGCAATTGCTGTTTTCGAGTGTCGTCTACTCTTTGGCTACTCCAAGTGGCTCTGGTCACCCCCCCCCTTGTCACAGCGAGATTTATCGGCACGGTCGAGGGCGTGCCGCGATTAATGCGTTTAAGAGTCGACTAGCTCTTTCTGATAATAAATACCACGTGCAAGTTGTAAAACGGATATCGATCGTTCATTATAGATCGTCGCCAAACTGAAAAGTGGTACGTGTCGTAGAACTTTTGCCGATCCAGGATCGAACAAGTGAAACATCTCACTGACGCCTTTTAAGGATGTATTGGCTATATAGTTAATCCCAAAAGTTTATGTACCTTAGAAAAACACATTTCCTATAATTAAAAATAGTGCATTCTTCTTCTAATTTCGATATTTAATGAGTTACGTATGATTATATGGCATTTTATTGATGTTGACAAAATCCGACCATCCCACCGTCGAAACGGCGAACTTTTGGAAAAAAATTTCGTTTTTCCTTAATAACTTCTAAACCCTTGGAGATACGGGAAAATTGCATAGGACCTTTCTTGTAGAGGACGACGAGATCTACAATTACCATGTAAAAATTATTTGCTACCATTAATAGTTTACGAGTTATTGACGAAAAACGAAAAAACAGTTTTTTGCAAATTACTCGTTAACTATTGCCGCTAGCGAAAAATTTTTACATGGAAATTGTAGATCTCGTCATCCTCTACAAGAAAGATCTGATGCAATTTTCCCGTATATCCAACGGTTTAGAAGTTATTCACAAAAAACGAAAATTTCGCGAAATCTGAAGGGGTACCCCTTGGAAAAATCTCGGAAAAATCGAAAATTTTTTTTTTCTCAAAATATCGAGAAATGTTTCAAGTAAAAGTTGTAGATNACCTATGAAAAATTTGAGATCACTATAATTTTATCTTTTTAATAGTAATAGGAATCTACAATAACAAATTCAACATGCTAGCATTGCTTAAGTATATAGCCTATACATCCTCAAGTAGTAAAGAAATATTTTAAAGTATTTTTATTGACCTCTGTCAGAACTTTATCTGGAGGGTCATTGTACCGGCGGAGAATAGAAACGGATGCTCTCGAAGAGAAAAGCAAACTATCCGCAGTTTCAATCCGGAATTTAGCCCGTTAAAACCGTTAACCAGCGGTAAAGGAACCACAGAGACGTTTGCTTTCAGCGGTTTTCGACATTAGATGCCGTTCAATGGAGGCGTTCAGGTGGTGCCTACGCCGTGGTTTCGCATGATGCGCCGTTTCAAAAAGACTGCTCTGTACGTTTCAGCACGCACAGCTAGTCGTGCAAAAGCTCGTTTTAAAAAGGGTGTATCTTTGAAAATCGCAGGCAAATATCGTGCGGTGAAACTCGGTCGACGCGATGCTAACATTAATGGAAATGGATTGAACCATTGGTCATTTTATCTTTCGCGAGATTGAAAAAAAAATAAATAAAACGTGCCAGTTATGAATTACCCTCTTAATATCCTATACTTTCATGTTATTAATAAAGCGTGATAGAATATTAAGAACTATGTTGCGTTAATTGATAAATTCCTTATGAATCTGACAGTTTCTGACTGGTCAGGACTAATGATACACAATTAAAATACACACGACGGTACCATTTTTTATTACTGCAAAAACTATGAACCCTCTTCTTCCGAGACTTTCTAATACCACTACTCCGCCGTCGAGATGATCGTAGGAAACGTTCAAAACCTACCTATTAATTACGTTGCCGAACTATGATTCCAAAAAGCGTTAAGGCGATGTTCCTCTAAAACTATTAATTAATACAGCCGACAAAAAGTGGGGAAAAAAAAAGAACGGCGTGCGCTTTCTATTTTTCGTTACCGGCAGCACCTGTTGAAGCAAATGTTCAACAAATCAGAACCGAACACCCGGGGATAACATTCGATCACGCGTCGCGTCGCGGTGCAGTTTTGTAACTGGAACGAGCAGCAATTGCAATCGCAATCAACCGCTTTCGGGCTCGTCGCGAAGCTTGTAGTATTAATTCCCTGCTAGCAATATTTGTTCGCGTATTTTTGCCGAAATTCGGTTCCCACCGCCCCTATAATTCATGCGGCTTTTTTCATATCCTCCTGGCGGAGCTGAGCATTCGAGTAAAGAGTCGTATAAATTATAAATAAATCCCCGCGCACAAAAAGCTGGAATATCATTAAAAAAATTGGCAAACGAGAACGCCTTGCGCGAATAAATCTGGCTCGAATAATATAAATTCTTTTTTCCATTGAATAAAACCGTTATGCATAAATGAATTTCAATTGGTTATTTCATGAATTTTCTTCAAAAAGTTGGCAGCAACTTCGCGAATACTTATGCCGGCGATATTCATTTGTAACGAACGATTAAACCTCCCGAGTAACGGAAGTTCCGTTGTATCGACGCGCCTCGCGTTCAACACTGGAGAGAAAGAGGAGAGTTAGAGTGATTAAAGGGTTCGCAAAGGAAAGAGCCGTTTTAATAAATAGAGAACTTTCACAACGGAGTTTCGGAAGTTACGAAGTCGGTGCCACATTATTTTCCATCTTACGGCCCAGAAACCTGAACTTCGCTATTGAAATTCCAATTTTTTTCCCCTCCCTTTCTCTCTCTCTTTTTTTCCCCCCTCTTCCGGTTTTCGCTCGGTGGAGAATTTCTTTCCCTTTGTCAGTCGACGATAAATTCAAAAGGGAGCTTAGACCAGCGGTTTAATTAAACTAGCTTAACTGTCATTTCGTTCCTTCAACTTAGGTACATGCCTTGTTTCGCGCAGCCCTCGCGAAATCGATAAACCCCGCACTTGTTCCACATTCTTATTATTGCCTTTATATATTGCGATGGGTTTTAAGATTAATTTCCTGCGACCAAAACACGGAAACTGACTAAGCATCTTGATTTACTAAAAATACTTCGAACGTTGAAACTGAACTATAATATTCTTTGTAATATTAATATATGCTGACTGTTAAGTTATTTAACTGCAGTAAATATAAAACTGTGTCGTGCATTTATTTAGGGATATTATTTTAGGATATCCTGTTGGATAGAAGGCAATATCTATGGTACGTAAAGTTCAGGTTCAATTCTAAGTGGTGACGTTTACGAGAACGCAAAAGAAATTTATTCGATCATCTTCGGGCTGGATCGAGGGGAAATATAAGCGCAAGAACCTGTCAAGTGTTTCCGAGAAAAACGTGCTCGGTCTCAATTTTGCCGGCGACTTCGCCGTGAAACGTAGGAATTCACTTATATCCGCAGATTGCATAACGCCTGCTGAATACTGCATCTCGGCTCGTTACGTATCGCGCGTGGAGACGCGTTAATTAAAAATCCAGCGTGGCTATCTCGTGCCCTCACGAGCTCGCGTGCAACAAGAATTTCAATAGGAAATATAGCTACTTATGAAAACGTTTGTTCGTGGAATTCAAAGCCGTCTCGCAACAGGATAACGAATCTGTTGCTCCTGTATAATTGCGTTGCAAAACGGATATAGCGATTTTCTAACGTTGAAATACGTAGCTGCGTAAGAACTTTATTGTGTTCAAAAGAAATGAACACCCACAGAAGTAACTAACAGGCGAACTTCGAGGAAAAGAGGAAAGAAAATAAAAGTGCGCTCTAGTTTAACTCTTTTATCAGCGATGAAGAACTCGGAAAGATTGAAACTCCGAAATCTCCGGGAACTGTCTTTCATCGTTAAAAACTAAACTTTACTGGAAGCTCACTTGGTTATTTTGAAAATACCAGTTTACAAAATTCCATAAGCACACGGACTTACAATTTTGTAATCTGGCGATAGTTTCGGAATTCCTTGCAAATTTCGGAATTTCGGGGAGTCTTGTTGACCCAACCGGAATTCCCTGGAATAAAGCAGCGAAGCAAATAGCAGTTCTGATTGCTCATTTTTTAAAGGATGATTCGCAACCGCACCTAAATGCTCGGTGTATCAGCATTTATCAGAAGTCCCCGTAAAAATTTCGGAGCCAACGTATTTAGCGAGCGCGTAGATCAGATATAAATAATAATAACTGTGTACAACTCACTTGGCTTATCCAGATCAGATATCTCCAGCTGCGAGTACACCGTGGCAATTCTCAACAACACGAACACCGTGGTCGTAGTCGCGACATTCCATCGGCACCTTCTCCACCACCACATTTTGTCTTCGTTTCGCGCACCTTCCGGCACACGCACACACACACACCGTGGAGAACCGGCGCCTCCCGGTCCTCACCCCGGGCCGACCGCCCCCGCTCTTTCAGCGGTTACCTAGTCTCGCGACCGTCGTCGTGAACCAGCACTAATTGCTGCCGCCGGTGCAGTCGGTGTTCTCCTTCTTGTTTTCGATGTTGCTGCCGTTGCTGCATTGCGCCGCCGTCGTCGACATCCTCTCCCGAAGCCTTTCTCTGCACCTCGACGACCGACGATGCTGCCTCGACAATCAACACACTTTTGTCACCCGATCGGGTGCCTCGAACGTCGGTGATCAACAGAGCCGCGCGCTCCCTTCTCAGCTCCTCCCCTTGCCACGATGATTCTAGCAGATAACCGTCCGCTTTAATTGCGCATAGAAATCTTCCGGGATCGAACTTCTTGTGGCAATCGAACGACGGCAGGTAAATTGTTCAGTAACCGTTCCCCTAGAATCTCTAGTAATTGACAAAGTTCATTGGATGATCAGTCTTGAATGATTGCGGCGTAGGGTTGCTAAAAAATTGTAGAAAAAAGTGTGCGATGGCAGTCAGGTTTAAACGCTGTACGTGTGTCCAGTTTAGTAAAAGTAGAGTAAACCACCGGGGTTAATGCGACGTTAAATGCGGCAGTAAAATTTGAATCTTGTATACAATCTCTCCAAGAACACAAATATCATGGGTCGTTGCACTGTTCGACGTCAATGTACAATTTCCAGTTTCTCGAAAGTCTTATTCTGTGCAGTAAACGGCAGTGAAAATTGTTGTCACTTCAGCTCATCGTCAGCCTGCAATTGTACAAAAAAAGCATGTACTTCTAGTATCATTCTTCTTCTTCGCGAATGGGGCTGAACTCGATGAAAACAAACCCGACCTTGCACGAGATACAGACACGTACGCTTTGTTCGAGATTCAACGGGGAGACCCGGCGATTCGCGAGAATTGGCCAACTCCGCGACCGGATCGAAACGAACCACAAGTAACGCTCTGCACCACGGGTCTAGTTTACTGCACCACTAGCTCCGAATGAACTCGCCGGTTCGCCCCTATCTCATGGCTCGTTACTCGCACCGCTACCCTTCGGGGCTCGCGTACACGGAAGGATATCCGCGCGTAGTCCTTCGTACGGGAGTAATTAAATCGCCGGTATCGATAATAATCAGCCGGTCGAAATTGCTCGGCCCGTCGGTCTGTCTTAATTACAAGAAATTTCTTTAATGAGGATCGTTTCTAAGAACCCTTTGTAGGTTATCACACGCACGACACGGTCTTCCTTTCGCCGGATCCTGTGAAACTCGATCGCGTGCACCGGCGTGCGAGCACGTGAGTCGCCGGGGACGGTCGCAGGGAGTCACGCACCACCAATCGACTGTCTTTCACTCGGAAACGTTGCACGATCCCGATATAAAATCTGTTCACAATCGCGAGTGCACATCTTCAAAAAAGAGAGGGATCCCCTCCGGATTTCGATTAACCTAATGTCGTTGTCATCGTACGTGTCCACGAACGAACTGTCGATCGACGGTGATCAAGTGCGCACGGGGCAGGGCACGTAAACCGAAATCACGTTCCACCAACGCGATTTTAATTCACAGATCGCGAGCACTGTTCACGCGTTCGAAAACAAGGCGATGATTAATCGTTGACTTAATGGGACCACGTCGAGTCCAGACCCGTGGCGGCTCGGTACTGAAACCATTGAGTAGCGCGAAGGACCGCCGTAAGCCGGTTCGGCTGTCTTCGGATACGTTCGGCCGACTTCGGGCACGCTCGCTCTACCCGTCCTGCTCGCGGGAATGCGTTTGTCCTCGTCGTAGCCGGCGCTACCTCTACCTTTTGCTTTTCATACCCTCCCACGGAGCCTCTTCTTGCCTCAACCCCATGCTTTCTTCGCAGCACACGCATGCACACGCCGCTATTCGGAGCCGCACCGCGCGGTGATCGCTATGATTTAGTGACGCGGCTAATGAGTCGCCATAATCGTGGCGGTACAGCCGTTTCACGAGCATGCAACACCTTCCTCAAATGACCGGCGAGATGGTGGCAAGAACTCGCTGTGAAAAAAACAACTGCCGAAAGAATATTTCCTGTCTTTATCACTTTCAAGAATACGAGAACAAATCGTGCAAAAAAAATAGACAGAACAGCAATATTGTACTTTAGAAATATAGTAATCTTCGGATATTTAAATTACCGTTCGACACTGGCCTTGACCGATATATCCGAAGGAAAGATTTCCTAGAATCGCTCGTCAGTCGAGCGTGAAAAACTGCAGACTGGAAAGAACTAAACAATGTCGACTGTCCAAGCGTGACAATAACAGAGAGAGAGGAAAAGCATGAACATAGATGTGCCCATAATTATGAAAGTGGTCTAAGTCAAAATTTAAAAAAAAATGAATTTATCACTTATTTCACACGACATGAATTTGTCGCGTGAAATAAGTGATAAATTCATTTTTTTTTTTAATTTTGACTTAGACCACTTTCATAATTATGGGCACAGATAAGACTCGAGGCTCGCGTGAGCCAAGATGTACTTACTCGTAATGAGTGCAAATATTCAAACGCGTTTCTCGAAACCTCATAAAAAACGAGTGACACTAAACCGAAACTGTCCGGGTGAAAACGTTAATAAAGCTGGCAATATACCAAGAATGCGGGAACATCCTCGCCTCCGAAATGAATCACTCTCTAAATTCAAAACGGTTTTTATTAGAGAAAGCGAACGGGGAATAGAGGCAATCTTAAAAATTGCCACTTTGCGTACACGAGTCGCGAGATTCTTGGTTTATTCGACTCTAACCATTTGCGAAATTAATAGGTTTTATGGGCCGATGGCGACCGTAATTCACTCGTTTCATAATATCGTGCAAATCGGTTAATATTCATGCTGCTTTGGGTTCGGATCGTTTTGGGAAACGTACGGCAACTCAGGTTATCCGCTATGAAATATGCATACATCGAAAAGTATGCTTATACGAGCCGATTGACTATTTTATTCGTCATCATTTTATTTACGATTATTCCGGGAACCGACCATAGTCATCTACTCTCTTCGCTGGAAAATTGCGTGGCTCGAAATGAGGCTTTTGATTAACGAAGCCTGCTCACGGCGATGAACAACTTCAGAGATACGATTTCCAGACTATCAACTTCCTTCATTAAATGACAATGCTTTATTTGAAAATATTTCTATTTACTTAAAGTAGATATGAAATACTTTTCAAATGATCTCATTTAACGTGGAATCCTTGAAAATTCGTCAGTGTCGTTTTCGTACTTATAAATATTGTTTGCAATGAATTCAATCGTTAAAGAAATATCATTTTAAGTTACGAAGAGGAATTGAATGTAACTTCGCTTTGCATTGAGAATACAATAAGGGACGTCAACTGGTTAGCAGGAGTACCGGGAATAAATAAATCTTATTATGACTTCCGCTACTTACGTTTGTCTCTATAAACGAGAATTATTAGTTTTCATTAATCTCTGTCAATTGCACGCTGTGAAGTTATGACATTGCACCGTGTTGCAATAATACAGCTGTCAAGTTGATTCGTGATTCGTGGTGCCAGTTTGTTCTTGTTTCCTTCGTTATCTGCAAATAAATTGTTTTTGATTTCAGGATAAATGTCTACGTATGACTGCATGCTTTATGCGCTTCTTTTTCATCAAATAATTCTGGGATAAAATCGACTCGTGTGTACGTATGCAGAAAATAAAGTATGTGCAATGCAGAATTGCGAAAAACGCTACAGACGATTCTAAAGTGAATTGTTAAAGCATATCAGTGCACATTAGTACTAATAAAAATACAAATTAAAGTAGATTGTAGTTTTTATGAGGTTTGATCCTAAAAGCGTCTTTAAAATTTCCGAACATAATATAACTAGTCGTTATGCATTTTATACAATAAATATCTCTCTAGAGGCAGCGAAATGTTGTTCATAATATGAGTACCTGCATGATCCCCGCGAATACTCGTTGGGGGTAACTCTTTCAAAATGCCAATTCGAAATTAAAACGCAAACGAGGCAAACGAACGCGCGTTTAATCTTCGTAATACCGTGATAAGCGTTATCGCGTCCGAAAGGAAGCGGCGTTCGATACACAAAACACATTTCACTGACACGGCGTGTTGGGTCGTGTGCGGTAACTTTAGCCCGTTTGCAGATTTAAGCACGGGCCAAGTCGGAACGAGGTTAATGAGCATCACGAAGCATATGTTCCGATTGGAACGGGAGTAATTGGTGGTGGGGGCATGAACGCTTATTTGCGTCATAAACATGTTCATGAAAACTGATAGTTCGTGCATAGGTGGTGCACGCGCGAGATAACACCCCTCGAAACTTCATGACTAGGAGAACTCTCTCCCTCTCTCTGTGATCGCGATAAATTCCGGCTTTCGTGTTTCCGTCGCTATCGGGAATCGCCTGCAAATCACTTCCTAATCCTCATCGAGTAGGTATCTGCGAAGGTACCTTTCCTAAATCCCCTTTGAACGTTGGAGAACACTCCTGGCTTAGTTATGTATGTGCAACGCTGTTTCGCAAACGTTCAGGGTTTGTAACGTTCGATACAACTTTTTTCCCATCAGCCGAAAGTAATGATGCTGCTACGAATGATACTTTTTTTTATTTCGTAACAACTATCTTCACTTTATGAAAGATATGTATCTGTAATTTAATTCCTGTAGTTTCAATGCGTTGAAAATTGTTTGAGTTCTTGAACAACGTTAACTGTACGCAGTATTTCAGCATGAACTGGACAATTAACGTCTGACTAAAATTGTCTGACCATAAATGGCTACTACATCTTTCTCGCATAACACGCGCCTGCCTGTCTAGTAATTTCCAAGCGTAGAAAATAGGTAGGAATTCAATAAAGTGAAAATCTAATTGCGCAGCCCGCATGGTGTCGGATTCGATGCTGTTCGAAAAACCTCGGCTCTTGTCGAGATCAAATTGTAATCGGAGAGTACGATCGACGTGCGTATACGAGCATGATACGTGCGCCGGCCACGCATGTTGGAATACGAACAATAATTTATCTACATCCAGATAGCTGCGCACTATGTTCCTCTGTTCGCGTTTTTAATTTGCGATCCGCATACTCGCGGTTTTTAATTTTCCGTTGCCAAGAGAAAATTGTTCTCTTGTTGATATGGAAACCGAACAATTACAATGCTCGATTAAATTGACAATCGAATCTATTCGGGAATGTGCAGTGCTTCAACTGAATTGCACTGCGAAACTACAATTCGTGTCTGTACTGAGTAATGATACGCGTTTGATTTATAACAGAAGAATATCAGAGAAGATTTTACAATTTTTAACGATCGGATTTTGTCAGTACCAATAAAATGCTGATTAATCATATTTAACTCGTTAAATACCAGAATTAGAAGACAAATTCATAGAATCTTTCTTGTACCATCGTTAATGTTACGTCCAAGATTATTTTTCATATGTAGACGTTTCATGCATAATGCAAACCCTCTTCGCCTGTACCTATTCAATCTCTGCATGGAGGAGCGTACTAAATGCTTGTATCATTGGCCAGCAGACGCAGAAACGCATGTACCAATACCGACCCGGCTTGACACTGGATAACCGGTGTAAAATCCATTAATCTTAAAATGGTAGGCAGTTCCGTTAGGGCCGTTCACTAACTGACAATAATTATTCATTATGTGAAATCCACCGGGTTTCGAGCTAACTTTTATGTCTCGCTTTAAACTCGTTGCCATACGCATTCATCACTGTACATTAAAAGATTAATATCCTTATTGAAAAATTGAAATACTGCAGTCTTTCTTTTAAAAGGGAATTAAAAATTTCAAAAGACGATTTTGTGATGCAAAATAAAGAATAAAAGGATTTGTTTGACGTCGTATATCTTCGTATGCGTCGTTAATAAGCCAACATAATATACGAAGATTAACATCGCTATTAGAAAATAAAAAGTCATTTAGAAGATCTCCATTTCCTTATTCCGAATCTTAATGTCTCATGAATATGCATTATTTGGATATTATCAGACCATAAATTCATGATAAATAGTCTTCCTTAAATTAACTTAATACACTCCATTAGTTATACGAATATATCTTCATTTCGAAATTCATTGGATTTTATATTGATATATGCAAAATAATTCTGAAGTAATTAACTTGTTAATAGGAGACGTAGAACGAAATAAAACGAGAATGTAGATTTACAATCTCACTTGTAAAAATGATTGCGGTTATATGAAGTATTAAGAGAAGTAATTGCAAGCTGAGTCAGTTATTTTAATAAAATTGATTCGTACACATGTTTGCGTATTATATCAATGATGGCGAAGCCACACACGTAGCTTTCGATCCATGATATCTGCACTCAGATAATCTCCTTTCGGAACTAGTAAAGCTTAAACCATTTTTACTGGATCCGTGTAACTTATCCGAGACAGCGAGTAAAAAAGCATTAAAAAGTCATCAAAGGGATCACGCATCTTCCAGATTATTGGGGACAAAGCCGCTTGAACATGGATTCGAGAGGATGTACCCCGGGCCCTTGGTAATCGGTGGCCCACTATTCAGAGTCTGCTGTCTGCTGTTGCTGCTCTGCTGGTGAATTGGTCAGAGAGTGTCTGGTGGTATGTACCTAACGCAGACCGCGTGCCGGATCAACGATATTTTACATCGAGCACAGAACCCGCT